AAGGGTGTTCAGGCACTGGCAGGGGCTGCCCAGGGAGGTTTGGAGTCCCCACCCCTGGAGGTGTCTGAGGAAGGACTGGAGGTGGCCCTCAGTGCTCTGGGCTGGGGGACAAGGTGGGCATCGGGCACAGGGGGGGCTCTGTGATCCTGGAGGTGTTTGCCAACTGCCATGATCCTGTGGAGCGGGGTGAAAGCAGCACAGCTTGGCTGGTTCAGTGACAGAGCCCTGCGTGGTGACTCACCCGAGGGGGACCCTCACAGGAGGAACTACAACCCACAGGAATTGTGTTGTTGCAAACACCCAGGATTTATCTCTCCTTCCTTGCTGAGCACGTGAGGGTTTACCAGCTTTACTGGCTTTGCAGCCTGCTGTAATTACACCAATTTTGGGGGCTCCAGTGTGTGTACAAGTTCTAACGTTTCCTCGACGTGAGAATTCGCTGTGGGAGACTCCAAACCTGTGATCTGGCCCTGGAGAGGCCGAGTTCCCACTGCACAGTCCCTGGGGTGGGATGAAGGCACCGGCTCCCCCCCTCCCTGGGGAGCCCCCACCCTGGAGGAGCCTGTGCCTGCACCCCCTCGTAGTTACATAGTTGGCTGCCAGGTCGGGGTGATCCTTCTCCAGCCCATCATCCAGGATGGTCAGCACGACCCCCCGCCCCGTGTAGCCCCTGCTCCAAGCCGTGAGGATGTTCAGGTCGGGACTGATGTCGTTGTTCTGGAAAACAGATTAAATTTGCTCAGCAGCCTGGGAGTGACCTCCAGGGGCTTGTGCTGCCTCACCACCGCCAGCATTAGCCCTGTTTGTGTGCTGGGGCGGGCAGTGGGAAGGGCATTCTGTGCTCTAGGTGAGGATTGGAAGGGGAAGCAGCACCATCTCACCATGTACCACTGCTTGGGGAACCAGGGGTCCGTGGGCACCACGCTGGCACCTCTCTTTGTGCGCCTCTTCAGCGTCTGCTGCTCAAACCACAGCACCTGGGCGGGGGGCAGCGCTGTGGGTGCCGGGCAGAGCCTGCCCAGGGCTGTGCCCGGGCTCCCCGTGCCCTCTCCCTACCTCGGGGTCCCTCATCAGCCGCACGTGCCACCCCCAGTGCCTGCTCAGGGCTCTCTGCCGGGTGCCACGGTGTCCCAGGTGGTAGTAGGGCTCTCCCTCCATCACCTGCGGGCACAGGGAGCTGTTGTCAGCGTTTCCAGCCCGGCTGGGGACACCCGCACTGGCTCCACTCGGGTGGGGAGGTCAGGAAGGTGAATTTAATGTGAGCTGAGCACGGCAGGACCAGCAGAAAGTGTCACCGGGAGACAGAGCAGGGGTCTGGGGGGAGGGTGTACCCTGGGCGTCCCCTGCTCCCCCCCTGCATGCTCAGAGGGGACACTGGGACAGATTCCCAGGCTGCCCCATCCCAGGAAGTGTCCAAGGCCAGGTTGGACGGGGACTGGTGCAACCTGGTGGAAGGTGTCCCTGCCCACGGGACGCTCAGAGGGGACACTGGGACAGATTCCCAGGCTGCCCCATTCCAGAAAATGTCCAAGGCCAGGTTGGACGGGGACTGGTGCAACCTGGTGGAAGGTGTCCCTGCCCACAGGATGAGCAGAGGGGACAAGTGAAGGGGACAAACAGTGGGGACACAGGGCGGGGATGAGCACGGGCAGTCGGGACAGCGGGACATGGGGTGGGCTGGGCCCGCCACCCCCGTCCAGGCCGCACCTGGCCCAGGTAGAGCAGCCCAT